TTGAGGCCAGCCTGGGCTATATATCCAATTCAGGGCCAGCCTTAGCTACATAGAGAGACTTTTTTTCAAAAAATCAGGGCTATAAGTGTAGCTCAGTGGTAGAGTACTTGTCTAGCTAGCATGCATAAGGACCTGTGTTTGATCCCCAGTGCTATAAACACACACACACACACACACACACACACACACAATTACTATCACCTTGTGTATGCACATCCTTTTGGGGTGGGTGGTACTGGGGTTTGAACTCATAACTTCACACTTCCTACGCAGGTGCTCTACTGCTTCAGTCATGTCTCCAGCCCCTACACATCTTTTTATATGTAAAGTTCAGTTATCTATGACTTCCTTTTCAGTTGTATACTTTCTGTAGGTGAGAGTTTTCCCAACGTTTTTGAGCTGAAATTAAACATTAGACTCTAAAAGGAATACAGGAATTAGTTAAGGTAAGATTTGGGCCATCATTGAACTGAAGTTGTTTATGTCTTGATTTATTGTTAATCTCACCATATGGGAAGGAATCAAGGTGATAGGTACATACGAACTTCTCCCCCCAAGTTTCATGAAAGCTCTCTGGTCAGTGCTTGCTGTGCCTTCTCCTCCACTGTAGTGCCTCACAGCGGGGCCACCAGGGGTCTCCACCACTAACTGACCCTATTCTTTATCTGACCTTGCTGCAGTCTACCAGTAGCTCATTCGTGTGTGTGTGTGTGTGTGTGTGTGTGTGTGTGAATGGTACTGTGTGTGTGTGTGTGTGTGTGTGTGTGTGGTGTGTGTGTGTGTGTGTGTGTGTGAATGGTACTGGAATTTGAACTCCAGGCTTCATCATTACTAGGCAGGCATTCTACTGGAGCCACTCCGGCAGCACAAATTTATTTTTGTTTTGTTTTTTTGGTGGTTCTGGTGCTTTAACTCAGGGCTTCGTGCTTGCTAGGCAAGTGCTCTACCACTTTAGCTGTACCTCCAGCCTGCTCCTTCCTTTTATGTATTTTTTTTTTCTGTTTATCAAAGCATACATGTTTCTCATGAAAAGTCTTGGAAAGGCTTCTCTATCAAGACAACTTTTTCCTCATTGAACATTTCTGTAACAACTATCTTCTTCCTTTTCACCTGTTTCTCTTCACTTCTTACCTACTGGGCTTATCTCTCTTTTGCAGGCATTTACCTTTGCCTCCCCTCCTCCAGATCTGCATTCACTTTATTGCTACCCACTGAGAAGAATCATTTTTCATGCAGTGCTGAAGCCATAAGATGAGGAGCCATTCAGGATGGTTCCCTGCCAACCTCCAATTTTAATGAATAAATTAGAATCCTGCTTGCTTCCCTGTGATCTCTCCATTCTTAGCACCGTAGCTCAGACTCTGCTTCTCTCCTACTTGCATTTCTTTCTTAGGACTTTGTATGACTTCTTTCAGGGCTTAGCTTAGAAAGTTGAGGTTTCTCAGACCTGGTCCAACACCCTCAAAACTTATCTTGGGGCTAGTTGCACCCCTCATTCCATGCACACTTTTTTCTTCTCTCATGGACAGTCATGGCGCCTGTAATACCCTTATAACATATCCCATTCTGTTGTACTTGTTTAGTTTTCTGTTGCTTAAAGCAGTGGTTGTGTCTTATAACTGCAGTAGAAGTATCCAGCCAAGGGTGGCTAGTAAATTTCTAATAAGTGAGTATAAGGAAATGGACATTTATAGGGTGGAGATTAGTGTGAAAAAATTCTGAAGCTGTTATGTTTTATGCTTGTAGTTGCTTTAAAATTGATTTATGCTCGGTGCTGGTGGCTCACGCCTGTAATCCTGGCTACTCAGGAGGCAGAGATCAGGAGGATTGTGGCTTGAAGCCAGCCTGGGCAAATAGTTTGTGAGACCTTATCTTGAAAAAAATCTCATCACAAGAAAAGGAGTGGGGGAGTGACTGGTAAAATGGCTCAAAGTATAGGCTCTGAGTTCAAGCCCCAGTACCTCAAAAAAGCAAAAAAAAATTGATGTGATTGGTGTTTGCCCACCTGGTCCCGTGATAATGGTTCTGTGAACGAAATTCCAAAATGTGAGGAATGGCAGAGCAGTTTAGACTCTAGCACCTTGCCTTGCATTGTGGGGTTCAGGGAGGAGGAATCTATAAGAGTCAGTTTCTGTCTGGGTGGATTAGGTACTTAAGGCTGTCACAGTGTTGATTTGAGATTGTTATTAACATCTAGGTGAGTACGTCTGCCAGACAGTAGGCTATGAAGTTTAGAAGAGTATGCCATTGGAAATGTGGGTTGAGGAGTCATCAGCATGTGGGAATTAAACTGGAAGTGATCACTTAGAAATATAGCCTAAAAAAGCCAGGCATGGTGGTACATGCCTGGAGCACTCAGGAGGTTAGGTAGGAGGACTGTAAGTTGAAGCCATCCTAAAAAGTCATGGTCTACAAACAGAGCTGGAAAAGAGCTTCTCAGAGAGCTGGGAAGGCTGTGTTGAAGAAACTGAGCAATTGAAGTTGACAGGGTCTTTGGCAATAAAAAGGCCATTGACTTAACTGTACTTTAAAGAGAATAACAAGAAAATGGGTCTAGAATAGATGCTTCAGCATGGACTATCTCCTTATTTTCCTGTTGAGCAGTTCCACCGCACCTCAGACCAAATCCAGAACCCCACTGTCAGTCATATAATGAATGATCATCAAAGTCATTTCCAACTTTAGTTTAAGGTTAAAAACAGATTCTGGACCCAATCCTAGAAATTCTGATTAAGAAGACCTAGGAATCTTGACTTTTTTTAAATAGGGCCTTTCTGAGGTTATAGAACAGAAAGAGGTAGCGGTGCTATAAACTTGCATTGTATTTAATTTTGAGAGTGGAACTTAATTATAGTGAACTTTTAAAGTAGTGAGGGCTGAGATGTAGCTCAGTGGTAAAGTATTTGCCTCACATGGACAAGACCCCAGGTTTGATTCCCAGCATTGCAAAAAAACAAAATGAACCCAAAAGAAATGTGATAGAGAGATTGGCAACCATGGAAACCCAACTGGAACTCTCCATCTGTCTGAGGGATGGGGTGGGCCAAGTGCCACCATCTGGTATAATGGGTTGGAAATTTATAATGTTTCTGTTTTATAGTTTTCTGCAGCATATGCCCTGGTACCCTCCATCAGATAGTCCACTACTGATTTCAACCAAACCTCAAGACTTGCTATTTCTGTAAGTCTCACCAGCCTGTTTTCTGTCTCAGGGCCTTTAAGCCCAGCAAGGGAAGACAAGTTAAGTCCTGGCAAACTTCAATGAGCAGCGGTGCAAGGAGCCCTAACCATTGGGTCTCCATTAGGTGTCCTCCAGAACTGTGACCAACTCTCCAGCAGTCACCTGGATTGTGTAACCTTACTGGCTTCTCTCACCTCCTCCCTGGGGTCTTTTCCTGTTTCATTTAGTTAACACCGTGCACGGTGTATTGAGCCACTTTGTAGGATAAATGCGAACAGAGGCCTTCCCTAATCACATAAGTTTCTTCTTAATGTCCCTGTCAGTAATAGCACCTAAAACAACGTGGAGGACGAAGGCAAAGAGAACATGCTGTGCAGTGCAAAGCAGCACAAATATCGCTGAAGTTTAATTTGTTCACAGGAGATCATTATGGGAGAGTTTTTTTCAACCTTCTCTTTGATTTCACTTATAGAGGGGTTAAAGAGAGATGAAAAGCCAGAATGTAGTTGGCACAAAGAGAACTCAGTGTGCCTCTTTTATTCATTTATATGTCATCTTGTTTTGAGTGGTTCTTTAGGAAGGCTGAATTATGGAATGTGATAGAAAGCTATTAAAATGCTGCAGTGCAGAAAGGGGGACGATCTGTACAGGTGGTTAGGATATAAACTACTGAAGATCAGAGGGATCCTGGTAAAAAGACAGTTTGTGTGCCTTAACTGCAGGATTTCTCTTTACCTGCTTAGAAGACAGTTCTGTATTTCCTGTCTTAGCTGACACTGGACTCTAGGAATTGAAAGTTGGAGTGAAGAGTAAGAAGGGTAAGAAGTTGAAGTGAAATTTGAAACAGATGATGACTTTCATACTTGATCAGTACTAATATCTGAAGCAGCTACAGAGAGGCTGCTACATTGCAGGCACTCAGTAAAAGTGGAACAAGTGAGAATATGCTGAGCCACCCAGCATGGGCAAAAAGTTATGGAGATCTTATCTCAAGCTGTGTGTGGTGACATACACCCTGCACAGGAGGATCAAGGTCCAAGACTAGCCCAGACAAAAAAGCAGGGGAACCCATCTAAAATAATAAAACAGAAAGGGACTGGAGGCATGGCTCAGGTTGGCAGAGCGCTTTGCTAACTGCAATGCCCTGAGTTTAGTCTCTCGTACCACCCCCCCCTTTAAAAAAACAGGAAAATTGACAGTTAAGTATTTATACACATAGATTATTTAGAAAGTAAAGACTAATAGATAACAAAGTACACAAGCAAACAAGTGAAAAGTTGCAGACATCAGAATCTCTGAAATAGTCAACAGTATGGGAATAGTTTTAAAAGCAATAGAATAATCCTGATATGTAACCAATAAGATGCTAGTTGTGATGACCTAGAAAGATAGTGCTCAAACATCTATGGCTGTTTGTACATGTCTGTAATCCCAGCACTCAGGAGGCTAAGGCAAAAGGATCCCTAGTCCAAGAATAGTCTGAGCTCTGTGTAGTGAGACCCTGTCTCAAAAAACAAAACACACAAAAGATTGCCAGGGATTGTAGAGGAGTTCTTTTTATACTTTCCTTTCTTCTGTGCCTGATGTACTGAAGTAAATAAGTAAGTTAACTTTCTTTAAAGGATTAATTTTACGTATAGAATGTTAACTAATATTTCTGAAAACTATCATTTGAACCCAATTTTATGACTGATAACACTATGTAAAGTGGTATTTTGCTTTTGTTGAACTTGACCTCTGCGTTAAAAACATGCTGAAATGAGTGTTTGGGATTTAGTAAACTGACAGAAAATATTTCACTTTCTAGAATCATCTGAGCTAAAAGAAGAAACTTGTCTAAAAACTTGCTCTTAATCAAATGTGTATTTCTCTCTTATAGGACCTCTGTTATGCACCTAAAGCCATATTGGAAACTCCAGAAGAGAGAAAGTTCTCTAGAAGTCAACAGGGACACTTTGAGAACTCCTGTGAGCCACCAAAAGGCTGTCAGTGATGAAACAGGCACAGTTGTCTACATGAAACCAGGAGTCTTTCCTTCAACCTCTCTTGTCAGAGCATCATCTCGAAAGCCATTTGGGATCCTTTCTCCAAATGTTCTATGCAGTATGAGTGGGAAGAGTCCTGTAGAGAACAGCTTGAATGTTAAAACCAAAAAGAATGCACCATCTGCAACAATTCACCAGGGTGAAGAAGAAGGGCCCCTTGATATCTGGGCTGTTGTGAAACCTGGAAATACTAAGGAGAAAATTGCGTTCTTCGCAGCCCACCAGTGTAGCAATAGGATAGGATCTATGAAAATAAAAAGCTCCTGGGATATAGATGGGAGAGCCACTAAAAGAAGGAAAAAATCAGGGGATCTTAAAAAAGCGAAGATACAGTTAGAAAGAATGAGGGAAGTCAATAGCAAGAGCTACCAGCCTGAGCCGTTTGCATGTGGCATTGAGCACTGTTCTGTGCATTACATGAGTGACAGTGGGGATGGAATCTATGCTGGGAGGCCTCTGTCAGTTGTACAGATGGTTGCCTTCCTCGAGCAAAGAGCCAGTGCCCTACTAGCCAGCTGTGCGAAAAGCTGCACAAGCTCACCTGCCATTGTGAGATTTTCTGGCCAATCCAGAGGTACACTCCCAGCCCCTGAGCCATTCTCTGCCCCAGGAGCTTGTGAAGAATCCACAGAAAGGGGAAATCCTGAGCTTGGTGAACCACAGAGTGAACCAGTCCGTGTCCTTGACATGGTAGCCAGGCTGGAGTCTGAGTGCCTGAGGCAGCAAAGCCAGCGTGAGCCTGGGAGCCTATCTCGCAATAACAGCTTTCGTCGAAATGTGGGGAGAGTGTTGCTTGCAAATGGCACTCAGGCTGATGAAGGGAAAACAAAACAAGGCGACTTGGAGGAACCCGACACTCAGGTGAATCCTGTGCAGCCTGTGTCTGTGGACTGTGGCCCCTCAAGAGCTGATCATTGCTCTCCCATGGGAGACCAGGCCTGGGATGGTGCTCCTCAGAGCTGTCCCACATTGCCAGCGGTGAGTTTGCACATGGACAGTGCAGAATTAGAGCCAGGTCTGCAGAATACTATGAAAAACAGCAGCAGGTATGATGTGGAAATGACAGATGAACTTGATGCATTGCCTTTTTCTTCTCACACCTGTCTCCAAGCTGCTGAATTGCCCACAGATGCTATAGATTGTATGAGTAGAGAGCTTGTGCCATTTACTAGCCAAAATCCTGATGAGAGAACGAAAGAATCGTTGTGCATTAGCATCACTGTGTGCAAGGTGGAGAAAGACCAGCCGTCTTCCCATGAAGAACCACTTCCAGGGATGTTGTTTTTTTTGCCACCTGGTCAACACCAGTCAGACTGTTCCCAGTTGAATGAAAGCAGAGCACAAGAGTCTTCAGAAGTTGGGCAGCTTGAAGATGCTGCTGAAGTTGACAGTGCATCCAAGCAGAAAGGGATTTCAGCTGAGCCATTTGTTCCACCAGCCTCTGCAGTGGAAAATGCATTACCGGTGCTTGAGGCATCCAGTTGGAAGAAGCAGGTGTCTCATGACTTCCTGGAGACTAGGTTTAAAATCCAGCAGCTGCTGGAGCCTCAGCAGTACATGGCATGTCTGCCCCACCACATTATGGTGAAAATCTTCAGGTTACTTCCCACCAGGAGTTTAGTGGCTCTTAAGTGTACCTGCTGCTATTTCAAATTTATCATCGAATACTATAACATAAGGCCGGCAGATTCTCGCTGGGTCCGAGACCCACGCTATAGGGAAGATCCTTGCAAGCAGTGCAAGAAAAAATATGTGAAAGGGGATGTGTCCTTGTGCCGGTGGCACCCCAAGCCCTATTGCCAGGCATTGCCCTATGGGCCTGGGTACTGGATGTGCTGCCACCGATCTCAGAAGGGCTTTCCCGGCTGTAAGCTGGGGCTTCACGACAATCACTGGGTCCCTGCCTGCCACAGCTTTAATCGGGCAATCCACAAGAAAGCAAGAGGGAGCGAAACCGAGGAGGAATACTGAAGTCGACATGAGAGGCAACCAAAAGACTGAGTTTTAAAACTACAAAAACACCTTAAGGTAAACCATTCAAGTGAGTGTTGCCTCTCAGTCCCCATTCTAGGGGTAACTTCACTTATTCCATTGGGACTGCCATTGCTCAGGCATTTTTTTAAGCTCTTAACCAGCTGTACAAGAAAACTGGCCTCGTGGTTTCAGAGTGGAGCCTCACATTTGATCCAGGGTGGAATCCCACAGCTTGACTCACTCAGTGTGAATAATTACGCCATTTTCCTCCATCAAACCCATCCTCAAAGGGTGAAGACTTGCCAGCATCAAAGATGTTCGGAGTTTACTGTAGGCTCTGCAGGCGTTCCCCAAGCAGGGGCTCCAGAAATGTTTCCAGCACTGGCACCACGTTTTAAATAAGTAAAAAAGAAAAGACCTTTGGATGGAAAAGTATGCCTAAGAAGAAGCCAGGCACCTTACCTTAGACTTTGTATGCTTGATCCTGTGAGAAGGCTGTTTGCGGTTGGAGATGGATTTCATGCCCTGCGGTGTTTACAGTGTATATAATGGTTGTGTTTTCATAGGGCTATGAAAGTGCACATTAAACCCGAGCGCCTTTACCTTTACTTTTAGATGAGTGCTTTCGCCCCTCTGTAAATAACACAAAATCCAGTTATACGTGATGGACAACTGACTAAACAACATAATCACTACAATGCAGCTAGCATAGTATTGCGGCTATAATCGTGTGGGTTTTTTTTATTGTGTCGCCTCAAGATTTGTACATCCTGTATAAAGTATGAATGTTTTCCAAATAAACTATGAATGTTTCCTGTATAATATATGTTTCTGAGAAGAGGCTCTAAATAAATAGTTAAGAGGTTAACCTGGTTTAAAGGATACCAAATAATGGCTTAACTGGACAAACTTAAAATGAGCATAGAGAACAATCCTTTGTTATATTTTAGTGATCCATCAAGATAAGAGAATATTACATAGATTACAACATTCTTGTCTACTTTATCCTTTCTGTCTGGTTACAAAAGATTTTTAAGTTCAATAAAAATATGCATCTTTAAATGGGATCTAAGTTTTGCAAAGTTTTTTTTGATGTCATGTTGAAGTTTTTTTGGCAGTACTGGGGTTTGAATTCAGGGCCTCACGCTTGCTAGGCAGGCACTCCACCACTTGAGCCACTCCACCAGCCCTGCAGGTTTTTAAGAATTGTGAAATTTTTAAGCTGTTTTAGAGTTCTTGGGGAGGGGGCTTTTTTTTTTCTTGCCACAGAAAAGAGATCATTGCAAGCTTAAATTTTACAACCTTTTAACACTTGAGTTTGGTGTGTACCCAACACCTGAACTCTTTCCTGTTTGGTGAGGTAGTATCTATAATATTCTCACTTGTCTAGGCATTAACCATTTAGAGATCACTAAAGAGCTCTTTAAAAAAAAAAAAAAAGGGCCTGTGGTCATATGTTTGGTGGCCATGAGAGGTGCTCAGACCACAGAAAGCTGCTGTGGGTGGGAATCTAAAAACTGTTGGCTTGAATGCAAGTGCTGACCAACAAACATGAGTAAGCTGCAGGCTGAGGAGAGCACATGGATGGGGCGTGTAGGGTAAATGATGGTCCCAAAGGAGCTGGCAGAGCTGGGCAGGAGATTCAGGCAGAGCCACATTGACCTGTGAGAGGCAGATGGGGAGCAGAGTGGCTTCCAAACTGGAATCTGGCTTGGTTTTTTTCCTTCCCTTATGCTTAGAAGTAACTGTTCTCTCAAAAGGAGATAATAAAACTGTGTTGAGCAAGTCTTCCACTGGTAGCCAGACTGTGCTACTAGGCTCATGGGATCTGTAACTCAGCATCAAAAGGCTGAGAACGTCTTACCTTGCCTTTGAAGCATCTCCTGTTGGTTTGCTCTAAACAGGCAATCTCAGTAGTGCCCATAAGCTTGTTTTGATTCATAATTTGAGATGAAGGGAGATAACACACATCAAGGACATGTTCATCCAGGCATGTAAAGTACCCAGCAAATGTTAGCTGTCATTGTTGCTAGCTGTGGTTCTCCATGTGCCCAGTGCAGATGCACAGTATAAACAGCTTGGTCAGTTTCATGAGTTGCTGTTTCTGATCTGGTTATCACGTGTGACATAAAGCTGTGACTGGCATGGACGGGAGCTGAACTGACCAAGAGCAAGAGGACACAGTAAGAATCTCCCAGCCCCACTTGGCATGCAGTACTTAGAGCCCTCAGAAGCGACTGTTGACCTGTTTTGAACTATGTGGCAGGACCTGGTTCCCGCTGCTGGCTACCTGAATGATAAGAGGCTTTCAGCAGGTGGTGTCGAGGGCACCCCCTCTCTGATATTTACTTCTGGATGAGTGTAGCTGCCCCCTTCGGAGAAAGACTGTTTCAGTGCCCCCCCTCCCCCGGGTGCTAAGCTGTTGGAATATAGCCCACTCTTTCTTCTGCCACAATGCAGTGCTACTTAACTTTGTTGCATTGCTAGAAGATTATAGATTTAAGTAACAGCGGGGTGTCAAAGAAAGTGGAAAACTTCCCCTTCAGCTTTTGCTTAGGCTCTCATACTCCTGGCTAGTCATTTTCTTTTCCACCTCTAAGGTCTCAAGTTTTTGAAAGAAGCCAGGAATCCACTCCCCCACCCATTTTTGGGGGCAGTTTTGACACTCCCCTGCCCACCAGATAAGACCAGGGAGCAACCCAAGGGAAGTGGGTTGGAAAGCAACAGAGATGAGATTAAAATGTGGAGCCTGGCATTGGTGGTGCACACCTGTGATGTGAATACCATCTAGGATGAGAAACCTGAAGAGGGGCTGAGGAGCTTGGAGGACCTTCCCTCTGGCCATATTTGGTCTCGTGGAGTGTTCTTGTCTAGGGCTGCTCCTGCTGCCCTCGGGGTTTTGCTCTGTAACTCTTTGTGCAATTACCTAGGATCTGTTGTTGCCGGAGCTCTTGGCAGCAGGCTGTGGGGCTGATGGTTATGGCACGATCCAGGGATTCCCTTCCTAAGCTGTGTAATCACCCCCTATAATCTGGACTTGGCAACACCTTGCTGCCAACCTTTCTGAGCTGGCCTTGGACAGTTTTAATATGGGCATTCCCAGCCATCTCCCATGGCTTCAGTTGTCATTCCTTTACTCAACAGACTGGTTTTCCTCCTTCATCCATAGCCTGCCTCACAAATCATAAAGCAGTTGGCACCAAAGCCTTCTTTCTATACACTGCAGACCTCACCAGAAAGAGCTGATGTTATCTATATCCCAGGTGCCGTTTCATGTCTAAATGTATCCTGTACTGTGCAGTGTCAGGCACTTGTGGAATCTGATTGTTTCCAACCCCGCTTCCTTTGGGTTCAAATAAACTAGTGTTGCAATCTCTTACGAGGTAAAGTACCTGCATGGGAAATGTGTAGTCCTTCCTACTGACATGCACACCACTCTGATGGTTTTTGGCCAATGCTGATGTTTACCCAGCCTCATGGGAAGAACAAACATTGTGGTTATGCACCCTTGGGTGACATCAAGTGTATTTGTACCAAACTGGCAGAACCACGGTGAGGCAGCACCCCCATTGTAGCTGGCTAGTTTGACCATGTGTTACTTGATGACAGCCATAGAGCCACTAGAGTTGGCAGCTAGGAAGGGAGACCTGGAAAGGGAACAGAAGTGGTGTCCCTTATCTGCAAAAACCCTTAAGAGGTGATGCCTCTTAACAGCATAATGAAACCCTCCTCCCCCCAAGCTCCTTATCCACTGTCTAGTTAGCAGACAGCAAGCCTGAGAACAAAGTCATTTTGGAGTCTTCTAGCTCCTTTTTGGTTTTGTTTTGAGACAGGGTGTCATTATGTAGCTCAGATTGACCTGGAACTTGATACGTAGCCCAGGCTGGCCAAGTGCTAGGATTGCAGATATGTACCACCAGCACCACTAGCTCAGATTATTTTTGAACAAAGGTGGGTTTATTAAAAAGTTAAAAATGAGAAGACACTGAATGTTTTGATTTTCTGTTTGGAATGATAAAACAGATTAGGTTCTCAAATTAGCATTTAAGGGGAAATGTATGTCTGAAATTACTCTTGAAAATCCTATGTCCCCATTACTCAACACATACATGATGCACAGTGCACACAACACATGGCAACTGTGCAGACACAGACTCAAGAACAGTAGATGCCATCTCCCTATTACTGGGGCAGAATCTTCTGTGCTATTTACAGTCCCATTCCTCTACTTTATCAGAGAATCAAATGGCTTGTGAGCTGCTACTGAAGTCTGTGATGTCTTATGAAGTAGTATGAAGAGGTTGATGAAGTTTTGAAAAACCTAAATCAAAACCAGCCACCAGGCACACTAGAGAAACAGAAGGTAAAATATTTAACTGTGTGTCCCCTACACTTTGTAAAGTTAGATGCTAGGATGGAGCCAAATGAGGCCCACCTAGGATTTCCTGCTCTGGGACTGAGCTGGGTCCTTCATTCACTGCCCTTTAAACAAACCTCTCTATGCAGCTGGAGTCAGCTGCAGGGAACGTGGTCCCTCCACTCCACTTCGACCCTGTTACTCTCCTACATAGACATGGAGGCTTGAAGGAGCCCTGAAGTGTCCTTTTCCATGTCTTCAGGCCTCTCAACTTACACCTATGCTCCAAGCAGGCTGTGTGTGAGAAAGTGCTGCAGTGATGGGTGAGCTGTCCATACTTGGCAGGGCCCAAGACAAGAGCACAGGGAATCTGTCTACAGCCTATCTCTACTAGGTCGTGTCTCACCCTGGATTCCTTCTCCCACCCTGTGCACAGGGTCATACCTTGGCCATGTCTCAGGCTCAAGGGCTCTTCACTGGAGGACAAAGCTCAGGGCTCACCCTAGAACTATTAAGTCAGCCTCATGGTGTGAGTCCCCAGGCAATGTGCAGGCAAGGTTGAGAGCCTTCATGTGTAGAAGAGAAGCACAGGCTGAGGGAGATTCGGGCTGAGGCTCCAAGGTCCTGGGAAAGACCAGGAGGAGGGAGGAAGGAATACAGAAATGGGCGGGAAGGGGCTAAGGAATGAACACCTTGACCACCAAAAGTAATGGAGTCTACTGCTGCAGCCCATCTGGGCTGTGAGCAAGACTGAGAAGGGGAAAACAGACCTACCGGGGCAAATGGGAGATGACCCAGGAAAGCCAGGTGTGGCAAATCTTGAGAACTGGAGTCCTGGTTTTCTATCAGAATCTCTTTTCCAGCCATGAAGGGCCAATGCGAAAGTTTCTTCTGCTCTGTCTGGGAAGAAGCAACTGTTGCCTTAAATGTACACCCGGGAAGGCGCTCTCAGGCTCCAGACAAAAGCTGTGCTGTCTACTACAGGCCACTAGCCCCAGGGAGCTATCAGTCACTTGAAGTTGGCTCTTCCACCATGGAAATGTGCTGTAAAATTTCACCTTTTTCCCTTTTCAATAAGACCACAAAAATTCCAAACTGCACAATCTGATGGTGCAATTCTACATCAATGTTCTTTAAAGAATGCACAGGTGAACTGAAGAACCTGATTTAGGGGGACTGACCTGGCACCCAAGATTCTACAGTTGAACGATCACACCACCAGGAGTAGGAAGGCTCTGAGACATGGAGGAGCTAAAGGATCTTGGGCGTGGTGAGCTCTGCAGTCTCTCAAGCTCCTAGCAGGGATTTTTCAAACGCCATCAAGTGGACAGAGGTGCCTTAAGCCAAGACTAGTGGCCCCTGCAGTAGGAAGCAGGAGACACTGCTCCCTCTTAGACATGGTCCTTTCTACGTGGAAAGTAACTATGAAATTGTGGATACACATGCTCTGCTCCCATTGTTCTTTATCAACCTCAGGCTGGAGGTCTAGCTCTTCAATCTATTTCCAAACCACTCAGGACAAGCCCAAATTGAGGGCCACATACGCTTTAGATTTTTTTTCAGGAAAATAAGATGGTAGATAGAAAAATGCTTTCCTCAAAATCCAGATGTCTTGTGAAGTCAGTCAATGTCACACAAAAAAGTGAGGGGATAAGGAATAATGATACAGACCTGGAAGGTGCTGATGCCTACACCATAGGACCTTTTACTGTCCCTGAGGATTTGTCACTCAACTGACTAGCCACTGGTTCTCATCCCTTACTAGTGTCCTTCAATCTCCAGCCAACTTCCCACTTTTTAAAAGTGGGCATTTAGTCTCCATCAAATCACTCCCACCATTATCCCACAAATCTTCCAAAAAGGCACAACAAAAAAAAAAATCACTGATAACACTCTTGCTATTTTACCACTCTTTTTTCAAGAAAACTTTGTTCCACTGGTGGTTTCTGGTTAAAAAAGATTGAAAATTTTATGATTATAAATTTCCAGGTAGTTTTGCACCAGTTCCTAGGAATGGGGGGAGGGGGTGAAGAGGGCATGGTGGTTTTCCTAATGAGTTTCACTGCTGAGGTGCAGCTGATTTCCCAAGAGCCTGTTCTAAATTTCCTGGTACATTTTGTTGAAGCAACTTTCAAGTGACTTCCCAACCACTTGTTCTTCCCATCTGCTTCAATCTGATTCCTGCATGGACTAAAATGTAACTGTGGTGACAGGGCATCTTCCTTCCCACACTAGACCAGAGCATGCTTACTGCTGCCTAGAAAGCTCAGGGCAGAACACTGAAGCCTGCCGCATTGGAGGAGTCTTTCCATTCTGGTAAAGAGGTGGGGTGACCATGGGAATAGCTCTTCAGCATTCCTCCCAGGGGGCCTGCCTGCTGCACTGCATTCATGATGCCTCCTCCACAATAACCTGGAAGCTACTGACTACCCATCTGGGAGAGATTGGTTACAAAAAAAGAAAGATTCTCCAAAGCTATCCAGTCCCTTCTTAATTTGAGAGGTCCCCCTCTGACGTTTGCTTTTCTCTCTTATCTTGAACAAAGTCTGGGCAGGTTCCACATAGATGCCTTAAAGGCCCACTGCTTTCCCAGTAGTCTGTTAAGAGAAACCTCGTCACTGCAGGTCATATGCATCATATCGGAGCTACCAAAGGAAATGCATCTCTAGAACAAGTATGGAGCCCAAGCAGCCAGTTTCTCAGCTTGCCAAAGACAGTTTGTTATTATACCATCACAATCTGATTTTAACAGGCATTTCTTTCTTACCTGGCAAAAATTATTCTAGAATTTATATGAAGTACTGCAGGGTTAGCTCTCATTCTTGTTGCAAGAAAAATAAACAGGAGTTTGAAAAAGACAAACATATTAACAAAGTACTGTTAAAAGATTTATTGCAGTAATAACAGTAAAAGTTTAGAAAACATTTGTATGACTCAAACTGGTTTAGCAGTCACAGAGCAAAGGGAAACTCCTGCAACATGACACTGCAAGGAATTCTCAGATGCTGTGGTTGACATCGAGTGTTCCTTCCCAAAGTAGACCTGGGTCTTTACATGTCTCCTGTCCCACCAGACCCAATGGTGACATGCTGCTTTCCCCTTGGAAGTTATGGATGTGCAAAACTTTTCTCAGTTATATTCCATTACATAAAAATGTCTTTTGTAAGATCATTTAAAGCAGCCTATTTGATGCCTGTAGATTTTCATTAATATTACACTTTGTCTGAATGAATCATTTTAAAATGGAAAACATGACCAAGTTCTATGGCTTTTTGTTTAAAAAAATACCAGCTTCATTTTTAAGAAAGCTGTTTACATATGGTTCTGGCACCTACAATGAAAGATTTTAATGAGCAGCAAAACAAGAGTAGAAAACAAACAAACAAAACAGTGGTTGAAATGTATATTTAAGAATATTTACAAGGTAGATCCAGTGCAAAATAATGAAACTCAAAGTTATTTCAGCAGTGTAAGCCAGTATATTGGTGCTCAAAACCATTAAAGGGTTTGATCACTTAACCCGACATAAAGTGCTCTAGTTGATATTAACAAAATCTACCTGGATCCCTAAATTTCCCACATCCTTGCTTTGTTGAATTACTCTAGACATGAGTTTCTGATCTCAGGATGCTCTTCTTTAGCTTCACCTCACATTCATGGTTTCTAAGGTCATCTGGTATTTGTTCATTCCACTTTACCCACTCTGAATTACAGAAGTGGGTGGTAAAATGCAAGGCCAACACTCATGAGGCTGAGCACTTAAAGAGAGACCAACTACATAAACACCCACAGGGAAAGCTGCCTCCTTTCCAAGTGGAACATTCAGAGCCAGGAACTTGGACTTCCAGATAGGAATAAACTCCCTCCTGCAACTCCACCCAAAACTACCACACACCAAAAATACCAATAGCAAAGGCTACATAGCACCTCAGATTTGGAGGAGAAGCATCACCTATAATAATTACAGTCAGCTAGGGCATGGCAAACCTGGATGATTTATCTGAGGTACTGTCATGCTAATCACTAAGACAGGGTAACAACGCCTGCCAAGAATTTTTCATAGGATTTTTTTTTTGTACTTGTTACACAGGATTTTTTTCAGTTATTAAAAATAAAAAAAACTACTTACATATTTGTACATAATGCCTCTCTAATAGTTTTCTATAAGATTGTCACTAAGAGAATGACAAGACAGGGTAGCTGAAAATGATCCCTTGATGAGGGAAAGCTCTATCAGTGTTTCCCGGGGATAGAGAAGAGTTGTACCAGCTGTAAGGATGCTCTGCCTTCTGCCCAAAGTAGTGTCCCAGAGTAAAGAGAGACCAGCAGGGAGAATTTCCCTGGAAAACCTGCTACCTCCTAAATCTCCCAGGAAGAAGCTGGCCACTTAGTTAAGTGGCTTTCCTCTGTGTCCGGGCAGGTATTTAGCTCCCACAAGGGAATGCACTCAATGGCCTATTTCCACTTGTAGAAAATAAGTTCCATTTCAAAATGCACCTAGTGTGGATTTTGATGGTAGAAATTCAATAACCTAGGTAAGAATGAGCTTAAATCTCCTCAGAATACAAGAAAATAGTTTAAACATCTCTAAAACATTATTGCAGCTAGGACTTCTTCCATCTGTGGATGTGGGTCCTCAGAAAAAAAGACCTTAGTTTCTTTGGTGTGTGAGGGAAGAAAAACAGGAATGTGATGAGCTTCCACAGAGCAACACAAATGAAACAAGTTTTAAACTACTCCTTCCCCTGAAAAAGACCACCCCTCCTTAATGAGACTCAAATCCTGGCTCTAAAAACCAGAAATGACCACATTATAAAGAAATCAAATACTTAAAATTACTGCTGGCTCTCTGTACAAAAAACAATGGCAGAAAAGTAAACAGTTTTTTCTTTCAAGTCCTCATCGTCAAGAATCACTTCTTACGACTCAACCAACCTCTGAAGCTTGGTGTCAGGAAGAGTCTCACCGTCAGAAGGACCAACACGTCATGGGGTCTGTGGGGCCTGGGCCCAGGGAGGGTCTGGGAGCATTTCCTCAACACACTGGCCACAAGCACAGGCCTTTCTTCCACCAATACTGGTGTGGGCAGAGGACTTTTGTGCCCCTCTCTACTACTGTCCATCACAGGCCACCTGACAAGGAGAAATGCTTATCTCCCTGCTTAAAACAAACAATGGTTTAACCTCTGTTTTTGTTCCAGGCACTGTCATTAACTACAATGGACAAGGTTTACTAAGTGCAGCGGGAGCGCTTTTGTGAAGCAAATCTGGCATGTTTTGGTGTATGCTCACTAACGGTGCCCAGTGTAAGCTTTGAACCAGGAGGTCACTGAGGCTGCGGCAGAGGAGATCATCCCACCTGCACTGCTGCTCACGATGGGTGGTGACACCTGGGTACTCTGGCTCTGAGAGACTTCCACGGGCTGGGAAGGGATGTCACAAAACCGGGGGCTTGGCAGGTTCTCCCAGTCTGTGCCCAGGTCAGTTTCCTCATCACTTATGTGCTCATCTCCACTCTCGTCTGATTCTCCAGCGACTCCAGGATCCACAAACTCCATGGACTCCTCCAGGTCTGCTCGGACTTCAAAGGGTCCTGACCTGTGTGTAGACAGTGAGGGGCTGCTTTAAGATGACCACCTTTATCCCAACCAGAAGTCAGATGCTGTCTTCCCCAAGAACCAGCCCAGTGGGGCTGAGGGACTCAGAGCGAACCACTGCGCACCATTTCCTGCACTCACTGCTGACCTACAATTGAGATTTCTTTACCCCAAATAACTGCTGTCCAAATCAGAAGTAAAATCACAATACCATACTTTCAATTCTCCCTACTGTATTTGTGAAGGCTGGACAGGAAGAAAGCCCACCCTTGGTCTACGCTGGTCGTCCGTGTAAAAATGACATTTCTGATGTCTATTATGGTATACTACTTAGTGTGTCATGTAAAAAATGGCACAGAAAGAACACTGTATAGATGTTCCCTGCCTTTCTCAGGGAAGCCTCAAATAATGAACTCTTAAGACTTCCAAAAGAAAAATGATACAGTTGTGTGCAAGTTAGCAATGCTTCCCTGGATTGTAACAGCTGGCTCCTTTTTTTTTTTTTTTTTTTTTTTTTTTTTTTCATTTTTCTTTTATTATTCATATGTGCATACAAGGCTTGGTTCATTTCTCCCCCCTGCCCCCACCCCCTCCCTTACCACCCACTCCGCCCCCTCCCGCTCCCCCCCTCAAATACCCAGCAGAAACTATTTTGCCCTTATCTCTAATTTTGTTGTAGAGAGAGTATAAGCAATAATAGGAAGGAACAAGGGGTTTTGCTGGTTGAGATAAGGATAGCTATACAGGGCATTGACTCACATTGATTTCCTGTGTGTGGGTGTTACCTTCTAGGTTAATTCTTTTTGATCTAACCTTTTCTCTAGTTCCTGGTCCCCTTTTCCTATTGGCCTCAGTTGCAACAGCTGGCTCCTTACTGCAGGTATTTGAAAATATCAGCACTCAATTGCCAAGGACATGTTTGTTGCATAGAATGAGACAGAACTTCTGGGGATCTATTCATCTACAGCAGTGCTATTTCTGCACTGTATTTCAGGAGAAAATGGTTTTTTATTTCCCAAAGGCCCCTAATAACATTCTCCCAGGCAAGTCCAAGAGCTCTTTTTCATTCCTCATCCTATGCCAGCTCCTTAGCACTACTCTGTGGGACTGTATTGGCAGCTCTCACACAGGCTTTTCACTTTTTTCTTTTTGAGACAGGACCTTGCTATGTAACCTAGACTGGCCTAGAACTCTCCATCTTCCTGACTCAGCCTCCTGTGTGCTGGAATGACAAGTGTACACCACCATACCTGACTCACAGGTTATTTCTGGTTCCTTTCCCTGCCTTGCAGCTCTAGCTCTGGGAAAGCCAGGTGGCCACCCTCCACACCCCCTTCCATTCACTGCCCCTGAAAGGATGACCATGGAGCCAGCTAAAGAGTGTGACTAAGTCCCTGCATCAATTCCTATCTCCCTGCTGCTGCCACAAGATAAGCACACTAGGCCTCCCTGGGTTCATTTAAGGGTTTCACTGATAATAAGTCTGGAGAATATAACAGAAGTTAACAAAAACAACAAACAGAAATAGTAAACACCTGGCATTAGTAGGTATTTCTACCTACTACAGTCTAGAATCCTTTTGGCCCTTTGGCAAAAAAGGCCAGAACTGACCTGACCTCCAGCATACCTCACAGACCGCACCTTCAGCTCACTCACCAGACTGCTCAACTCCTCCACTGGCACACAGCAGTAACAACTAGCATTCATGTTTCATGTACTGTTTTCCAGACAAGTAAACTAAACTGGAAGATGTACCCACAGGGTTTCTTCCTGGTCTCCAGTGAGCAAGTTACAAAGAGCCCCCTAGGAGGAGAAGTCCCAAGTCATTGTTTTGCAAGGGGTAAAGGGGTAGGAACTGGAAGTGGCTTCTCCCCTTGAAACTCTGCCAAACCAACTAATGTGCATTGCAGCCACACCCTTTCTATTTCCTTAAGGGTCCCCTTTACACTTGATTTCTTTGATCTTTTTCCTTTTCTTCTTCCTTGGCAAAGAGGCCTATTCTAGAGCTATCTTTTCAGACTCCTCTTCTCTGCTCTACTCCTGAATACGCTCCTGACCACAGATCTCAGGCTGAGGGTCACTACCTCACTTACCTTCTCAGTATCTAAGGCAGTTGCCAGCCTCAAAACACAAGCTTCCTGGGGACTCTTCCCCTCTTCCCTCAAGTTCCATGTCGGCTCACCAAAGCTCCCTGACAGCAGCAAATAACCCCTTTCCATCCTTAGCCTTCACCCTACCATCACCTCCTACCTCCCTCTTTCTCCAAAACTCATGTGCCTATTAAAAATGTTGACAAATTACATCTTAGTTGGCCCCCCTCTCTTCTTTTAACACAAAGCTCCTGTGTCTGTTGTCAGCTTTTTTGTCCAAGGGCCACAGCATCCAATGCCAGGTGGAGACTCCCTCTCAGGTCTGCTTTAGCTTTCTCCTTCCTTCCTTCCTGCCAGCTCTGCCTGTCTTCTGTTCCTTTCTGATGCTGCCTCATCTACTCCAGTGGTCCTGTAAGTATGGGACTACCATTGTCCCCAGATCCTCTAAGAGTTTCTAGAAGACAGGGTGACCCAAGGAAGGAAAACAACCCTATCTTCAGGAAGAGATGCCCATGGATGAGCCAAACTAAACTCCAGTTCTCTGCTTGGAATCCCACAGGGCAGAGCAAGTGCTCAGTTAAGTACTTAAAATGAAAAATGAACAAATGGAAGACTCCTAAAGCAGTAAGTTTAAACAATTTTGGCTCCAGTGAGTAATCTGTGTTTGAAAAGCCACAAGAAGAGAGTCCCCTGGGGCCTTCCCTCCAATGCTCGCTCCCACGTTTCTAGGTTAGATATACATTTCCTGTCTGGCACACCCTGAGCTAAAAAGACTCGTACACAAAACTAACAAGCAAATCTAGTCTGTTCCTTTAATGGCCTGGGAAATCAAGATCAAAAAATCATTTCTCTAATTTTTAGGTTAGCATCCCTTTTTATGCAACACCCTGAAGCTGCAATATTCATTTTCTTACGATGCTGCAAGGAGTTATCCTATTAATTAAGGCAACAAAATGATCTTTCTGGCGTTTTGAATCTCTTTTACAAAACATCTTATTTGAAAATAATGCTTTGCTAATCTAGACACCATCATGGTAAAGATTGGGTCAGGTAAGAATCATGCACCGATACTGAATCCAAGGGAAATTCTGATGGAAAAGGTGTCTGCGTGGCTGGAAAATGCCTACTCAGGAACCACACAGTGGGGAACTGCAAAGTACCTTGACTGTGGATCAATTAAGATCCCTAATGAGGAGACAGACACTGTGCCTCCAAGTCTCATGTTCAGGAGACATCTGCTAGGCAATATTCCAGCCTAGAGTTCAAGAACCCAAATCTATTTGCCAGGAAACACCAGAAAAAGTCCAAGTGAAAGTTCTATTATAAGGGAAGGTGGGAGCACGCTAGGTGTGGTGGCCATACCTGTAATACCAGCTACCAGGGAGGCAGAGGCAGGAAGACTGGAAGTTCGAGGACAGCCTGGGCAAAGTTCCTGAGACCCTATTTGAAAAATAAGAGACAAACAAGATGTCTAGAAGCATACCTTGAGTGGCAGAGCATTTGCCTAGCAAGTATGAGGCCCCAAGTTGAATCCTTAGTACCACAAAGGGTGTGTCGGGGGTGGGGGGGGGGTGGGAGGGGTCATTCTGGCTTTAAAAAAAATGCTAATAGCACTATATAGGACACTATCAGATCCACTGACAAATGTGAATGTGGACAGCAGACTGAATCTGCTAACTGTGATTTTAAAAAATACCCATTTTTAGGAACTAACACACCAAAGTATTTAGGAATAAAGACATGATGTATATATTCTAATAGCGTTCAGAAAAAAAAAACGCTCCTGTGTGTATGTATGTGTATGTACTTATAAAGGAAGTCAAAAGAGACACTGTGCAAATGATAAGCAAATGGGATAACATACTAATAACAGGTGAATCTGGGTAAAGGCTATATGGGTCTTTGTACTATTATCAAGAATGAGATCCTCACCGGGCCTAGTGGTGCACACCTGTAATCCTAGCTACTCAGGAGACAGAAACAGGAGGATCACAGTTATAGGGCAGCCCAGGAAAAGTTAGCACAAGACCCTATCCAAAAAACAAAGTAAAAGCAAAAGGACTGGAGGTGTGGCTCAAGTGGTATAGTGTTTGCTCAAGGCCCTGGGTTCAATCTGTGGCACCACCCCACCACCACCATCACCACCAAAGGAAAAAAAACAACGTGAGATCCTCAGTTCCGCTGATCTGAATGGAAACAGGAAGTCCTACTCAGGTTCCCTTCAGTCTTCTCTTGCCTGGATGCTGACTAAGGCAGCTGTGAAAAGGGGACTCTTGAAGTTCTATGTCCTGACCTGCAGCTCTCAGACCACCAACTCAGATGTGACCCACAGCCATTGTGTGCGCTCCTGGGGCAGCTCTCTAAGCTATCAGTGCCCACTGAAGCCTAAGCCCATAGGAAACTTCATCCCTCCAAAGTGTGAGAGGGTGCCCCATGACCCTCAACTACTACCCGCACTGCTATCAGCAGTCCTTCCATTCTCCTCAAACTTATCTTTGAAAAATGGAAACCTGTTTCCTACTGCAATTTTTTTCTTGGTTGAGGCTAAAAATGTCTTCCCTTTATATACTAACAACTTTCATCTCATGTGTGAACTTTTTAATCCTTTGTCTATTTTTGTTAGGCTGTTTGTCCTTCCTTTATTGAGTGGAAAGATTTAAGCAGCAAATTTTAATCTAGACTAATCATTTTATATCTTTAAATTATTACACAGGTTGCAAAACCTATTGCTTGTCTTTTAACTTTTTTAAAGACATGCTATCATTTACTAGAGACATTTAGTTTTAACACAGTAAAATGTCTAACTCCTTTCCTTTATGGTTTTTGGGCTTGTTTAGGAATTTTCTCATCACCCTATGGTTACAGAACACTGTCTTTTCTTTTAGTTATTTTATAGTTTTTTTTTTAAATAAAGTACTTTGTATCATTTGCAATTTATTTTTGTATATTGAAGGTGGTATAAACCTAACTTTTTCCCACTTGAATACCAACTAGCCCAACACTACTGAGATTAGCTGATTCAACATCACACTTCTATCATATATATTGTATCATATATATCATTTCTATCACACACACACAGTATATATATACAAGAATCTTTGTTAGGACTCTTTATTCTGTTCTAATTGCTTTATCTATCTGCATGTTAACTGCACCTTCTTGTTTTGTTGTTGTTTTTCTTTCTTTTTTTGGTGGTACTGGGGTTTGAACCCAGGGCATCAAGCTTGCTAGGCAGGGTGCCACTGTACCACTTGAGACATTCCACCAGCCCAGGTTTTTGATTTTTTAAGACAAGGTGTCTAAAGTAGCCAGGTCATGTTCCTCTGCCTCAGCCTCCCAAGCACTGGGATTGCAGCACTTGTTTTAATTAACTTTATATAATATATTTGAAAGTGATCAAGCCCATCCCTTGTTATTTTTTTTCCAAAATTTCCTTGCACATTATTCTTCTAGCTGAACTTTAGAACTGGCTTGTCAAATGTCCTTGAAGTATCTGTTGGAATTTTGCTCGGTCCTTGTTTTGGGGAGAAGTGGCATTTCTGCAATTTTGAGCCTTTCTAGCCTAGAAAGTCATAAGGAATTTCACTGCCTTGGATTTTCCTTCCTTCATTCCTACTCCTCCTGTAGTGCTAAGCAGGCATTCAACAAGAAATGAATGCGAATAAGAAGTTTCACAACTTTCTTTACAGAGGTGCTTCTCAACTTACATAGTTACACCCCAATAAACCTACAATATTATGTCAAAAATGCATTTCTTCTTTTTTCTGTTTTTGCAGTGCTAGGGATGGAACTCAAGGCTTTGTTCTTGCTAAGCAGGTGCTCTTATCACTTGAGCCACACCACCAGCCCAAATAAGCTTTTTTTTTTTTTCACAGAAGTCCTGGGGCTTGAATTTAGGGCCTCACACTTGCTATTTGCTAAGTAGATGCTCTTACCAGTTGAGCCACTCAGCCAGCCACATTCTGCCCTTTTTAAAAAAACTTAAATTTGAGGGCTGGAAGCTTGGCTCAAGAGGTAGAATCCTTGCCTAGCAAGTGTGAGGCCCTTGTTTCAATTCTCAGTACCACAAAAAAAAAAAAAAAAAATTGAGACAGGGTCTCCTAAGATGCTCAGGTTGGCCTCAAAACTTGTAATCCTACTGCCTGATGAGTAACTGAAATTATAGGCGTGTACCACCACACCCAGCTCGAAATGCACTTAAGGGGAAAACAAAATAATACAACACAACCAAGATCATGAAAGTAAAAGAGGATTTCCAGGAGGACAGAAGGGAAGGGGGAGGGAAAGGGGGACAACAAGAGTAATAAAGTGGGTGAATGCGATCAAAGCAGAAATGTCATAATGAAACCCCTACTATGCACAATACACGCCAATAAAAATAAACCACTGAGCTGAGAAAATGCATTTAACATACCTATCCTACCAAACACACTTAAGCCTAGCCTACCTTAAATGTACCCAGAACACATACATTAGTTTTCAGTTGTGCAAAACCTAGTTTTCTTTCACACATGTAAATACATCAGTCATGTCCTATCTCTCCAGAAATGTGTACGTGTATTACTAAGGGAAGGACACAAGGGTAAGAAATCACAGCAGGAGTGCTGGATGGTGCCAAAGAAGAGCCTCATCTATTTCATGCTCTGAGAGACTAAAAAGATCCACAGAGCACTACTGACTTCTGTTTTAAAGTCAATGGATTTCAAACCAGTTCATTCCATAAACTTCTAATACCTTGATCTCTAATAATGGTGACCCTATTGACTAAGTGATGAAAAGAAATTTGTGAAGAACTGCTATTATGGGTAAGGAATGTGCAGGCACAGAAGAAAATATACAAGAGACAGAGCAGACAGTAGGCAGGCAACAGAACGTGAACGCAAAAAGAAAACTGCCTCTGGTCTTCAGAGACAGCACAAGGTACTGGGCTCTAGAACACTGGGGTTCTTTCACAGTACTTTGGGTGTTAGGTATGTTTGATACTCATTTTCTCTCAGAAATTATTACAAAAGGACAATAAACATTCAAATATGTTCTTTTCCTTCACAACAGAAGTGAACAATTTTTACCTTTTGGAGAATCTGGGACAAGGGGACAAAAGGTACTATGCCAATACCCAGAACAACCCTATTTTAAAGCAGCCACAAAAAACATTCCTGGAGAAAAGCAACATACACCCAGCTTACCTGCCCAGGTGTTCAGAGCTTGAACTGACCAGGTACATTAGATTCCTGAGGGTGTGTACTGGTTGCAACTGATCCAAATTTACATGCTAGAAAGAGCAAAGAGCTGATTAATACTTTCAGTAAACTTTCTTATTTCTTCATGGTATAAGTAAAAACCTTCCCACATTCATCTATAGCCAACTGTTTCAATGATTGCATAGTATTAATTTGTGTGAAAAACACATTTATTTAATATTTTATAAATAAAGGCACAATTTATTTTAAATAAGAATCACTTCACTTTAAAAGTACAATAAAACTATCATTGCATTATTTTAAAAATGCTTTCAAATATGTAAAAGTCAAAAATTAGTGTATAGGGCATTTTCCGTACCTGAGAAAAACAAAGGTAAAGAATATTTGTATTCAACTTCTTCACTGCTCGAGTAAATTTCTGTTTGCTGAGATTTTCTCCACAAAATTCACTGTAAAAATATGATTTGTAAAGTTTTATTTTTGTGAGGAAATGGCAAAATGCTCTTTGAGGGGGGAGGGGGCTTGAGACAGGGTCTTGCTGTGTAGCCCACTCTGTCTTAGAACTTACAATCCTCCTGCCTCAGCCTCCTGGATGCTGGGATTACAGGCATCAAACCACCATGCCAAGCTAAAATGTTCAGTTTGAAGAGTATGCCTTATGCTATATAGTTCAGTACAAAATGTACCCTGTCCTTTACCTCCTTAGCAAATTGCCCTTAACAGAAACTTTCTAAGGAAAGCTACAGCACTCATGCAGAGCAATTTCACCGCATCTACAAAAACTACAAGTAATATACCTTCTGATCAAGCAATCCCACTTCTGGAATTTATTCTACACAAATACTTGAATGCTAAGGAAATGGTGTATTACCCTAGAAGCACCAACAAAGCACTGGCAAAATCCTGGTATGTGTAAACAAAGGAACCTCAGCAACTGCCCAGTTTGCGCAGAGTGTCACGAGGCCCCACGAGGCGCCACAAGATCAAGATCTGTGCTCCTCTCTTCCTCTGTCCCCTTCTCTCCTGCTTGTCTCAGAACTCAGACTTCCCAGAGCTCTGCACTTGACATTCTATTTACCTGCAAGCTCTTTCCTTAGGTCCCCATCCATGGCTTGCTCCCTTCCTGCCTTAGGTTTATCCACTCACACTCATCCTTCCCCGTGGCCACATTCCATCTTACCATTTCACTATTCTCCACGCACTCATCACCATCTGAACACTGCTATTATTTGCCTTCCTTCCATTCAAATATAAGCTCCAAGAGGGCAAAGATTGGTTTTTGTCACCAATGTGCCCCCCTCCATGCCCAGAACAGTGTCTGGCACACAGTAGGTGCTCAGTAGTTATTTTGAGATAAAGACTTAAAAAGCAAAGTGCAAAAAAACACTTTACTTTAGCATGCTATCATTTAAGTTTAGGGGAGATGGTAAGAGGTTTGTATTTGAAATGTAAGAATAACTAGAGGGTCAGAAAAAGGTATTAATGGGAACTGTGTGCACTGTATCTATATTCTTTTTAAATTTTAAACACGAGGCTTTTATTTTTAAAATAATCCAACTATTACAGTTCACTTGGTTTTTATACATGAGAATCTGTAGCATATTCTCTGAATATCCTGATTTTTCTTTTTATTGTTTTTTCCAGGAGTGGATTCTGTGTGGCCTTCACAGATTTCATGTGCAATTTTAAGACAAAGAAACAAATTTAAATATATTTTTTAAAAATTAATCAAGACCCAGACCTTTTCTGACTTGGTAATTACTAAAATTCATGGTTTTGGTTTAACTGGAATAAAGATGAACATAACAGAAACTTAAGAAGTCAGTAATAAAATGACATCATCCCTTCAATTACTTGCCTGTTACACAGTTTTTTGGGAAGATTGACATCAAGCATATGAGACAAAATGTTGACCAGCTGAGTGGCATAGCACAGCGCAGCACTGATGGTGTAGGCAGGGTTATTATGTTCCATGTCTAAAGAATGAAGACAGAGATCACACACAAAGTACCTCCAATTTCAGCAAAAATATTAATGAACCAAGATCTTACTAGTTATAATTTTAGCATTACCTTACTGATGGTTAAGTTTTACTCCTTATTCCATGGCTAAACATAAACGGTCCATGGTTTGTTTTTACTGAGTGGAATGTAACATAAGCAAGTGAGCTTAAACAGGCTAGGCGTAAATTAAATAAAAATATGAGTCAACTGGACCTGATAATGTATTATCAAGAAAATTACTGCCAACTAAGCCAGGTGTGCTGGCAAACCCAGGAGGAAGAGGCAGGAGGCCTGCTTAGGTGACATAGTGAGATCTTGTCTCAAAAAAAAACATGGGCTAGGGTTGTTGCTCAGAAGTAGAGCACTTGCCTAGCATGCACACATGTGTTCTATGTCCAACAATAAACAACAAATGAACAAACAAAACATACATGAATACCTACAAATTTTTAAAGAATATTTTGCTTCTTACCAGGACCCTGGGTTGTTTTTTTCTCTTCCACCCAATTGTAGTAGGCAGAGTAATCCCCATTGTTAGGGAGACTAATCCAAGGCCCTGTGATGCTTATGCTGGTATCACCATTGTGATCATCACAGATCCATCGGCCAGAAAGGTAAGTCGTCCTGCGGGCTTCAGCTAGCTTGCTCACGGTGCTGGAGGTCATGGCATTGTCACTCTCTGAAGACACATCTGCAGGATCTCTAAAAAATCAAGAGACAGGCTTTTAAGGGGAGGCAATCTGCCTGTCAGGTGCATGAGGACATTGGAAAGCTGTACATGAGCACAGGAATTTAACTGCAACACACAGAAAAGTCATTACTATCAGAGATGAAGCCCCGGCAAGTGTGAGGCAGATGGCACCAGGAGCCACGGCCTGAGGATTAGATTCTTAGGTTACATGGCTTCAACACTTCTTTACACAATTAAAAATTTCAGGATCCCCAATAAGTTTTGCTCATATGCGTTAGACTGCTGGACTACTGCATTTGAAATTAAAACTGAGGGCTGGGGGCTGCTCAAGTGGTGGAGCAGCAGCCGCCTTGCCTAGCAAGCTTGAAGCCAAGTTCAAACTGCAGTAGCACTAACGGAAAAAAAAGAAATTTGAGAAAACTTTATCCATTTATTAAAAACAATGATAAACCCATTATGTTAACATAGCATATTTCTATTAAAATTCTCTTATTTTTCAAAACAATTAGTGGAAAGTGACAGTTTTACATTTTTATCAAGTCTTTCACTTGCTTTCTCAAGTGTCCTATAAACAAAGCAGCTAGTTCAGCTTGCAAGTTATTAACACTTAAGTGCTTTCCTTAAGCCAACCATGGTTCCCAATATGTGGCAAGAGGGCTTTATGCACACTTCCTGGTTCATCATACAGTACATGTTAAGATAACGGATACTCAAGAGTCAAGATTTGATCAAATAATTTTTACTGCTTCAACAGTAAAAATTATTTTTACTATTGAAATGTTTTTAATGTTGTTTTGACATTAAGCGAAACTAGCTTTCTTTTTAAACTGCAAGTGCATAGTAGACTATAACGACTATTTCTGCACTGCCTTGAAATATGTCAAGATACCTGAGGTTTGACGCTACCTCATGGTTTCTGAGCCAGAGTTGCAAATGTCAACACCATGAAAAAGGAAAATGTATTAGTATTGTAAAGGTAGCTGTGACTGTACAGATTCCTTGAAAAGTCTCAGAGACCTGTGGACCACACTTTAAGAACTGCTGGGTAGCTAGGCATGGTGGTGCATGCCTATAATACCAGCACCCAGGAAGCTGAGGCAGAAGGGTGGCAAAACCTGGGCTATATAGTGAGACACTGTCACATACAAACCAACAAAGAAACAAACAAAAGCAAATTGCTGCCCTAAAAGGTGGAAGAGAAATCCCCCATGAAAAATCAAAGTAATTTCTGTGCACTAAAAGGTTAAGAACAACGGGCTTGGGGAACAGAGATGTTTAGTGTGGCCGGAGTAAGATGCACAGAGGATGGCAATGGAAAAGTAGTAGGCAGCAACAGCCTGGAAAGGGCCTTCTGAGTTTACACTGCACTGTGTGGCCAGTGGTTCTCAATAGGCAAGTCTGGGGGCTGTGTACCATGATCAATTCTAAGCTGTACCTTCTACCTTTCTTCTCCAATTCAAGATATTTAGAAAAATGCAAATGAATGAGCAGTCTTATTATGAGATAAAACTTCCAAAACCACCAACTTAAACGTTTATGTATAAATAATACACAGAAAAAGATTCTAAACCAGCATGGACATAGAAGAGAAAGTGTGTGTTCATCTTTTCTCTTCTAGTACATATACACACACAAAGTCATGTGTTGCTTAACAGAGGGGATATGTTCTGAAAAATTCATAAGTGAGTTCACTGTTTTGAAAATATCACAAACTAAGATAGCTCTAACAACGGCTAGGGATGTAATTTTATGGGACCACTGTTGTATATGTGATCAGTTGTTGACCAGAAAAGTTGTTACCTGCAAATGACTACCTGTACACATATTTTCCTTTTGAAAAAGTTTTAGCCTAATGGAAAAGTTGGCTAAAGTTCTCCTGTATATACGTCACTCAATTTCCTTAAATTACCAACTCAGGAAAATGCAGTGATCAAAGTCAGCTACAATACTAATTCATCTCCATAGCTTATTCAAGTGTATAGCTCTTTTGAATTAGTATCCTTTTTCTGGGTCCAATTAAGGATCATGCATTGCCTTCAGCTGTTGTTCTCCTGATATCTGGAATGGAGTGTTAAGTCTTTGTGTGCTGTAATGTGTTTCAATGTTGATATTGCTGACCCATCAGAATTTAATTTAGCATAAGGTTTCTCTGTTCAACCAAATTTTCTCTCTCAAAGACCTGGCCAGATGTCTTTATACCAAATTTTGGATCACCCAACTTTTTTTTTTGTTTGTGGACCTTCTATTCTTCTGTATTTCAATTCTGCCTTTAAATTTTTCTACTTACCAATTCTTACTAATGACAAATTACTTGGCAAGAGTCAGAGAGAGGTTTTCAAGGTAGAAGCAAAAATCAGATCTTTTGGTTTTTTGGAAGCCAGTTTTGTCAACAAGACTAGCAGTAGTCCACTAGTCAGATGCCGGTACAGGTGCTAGAGTGACAGCCAGCAGAGAAGTGGGGCTCATGAGTGCATATGCAAGCCCCCCAGGGGCAGTTTCTAAGCATGCTGATCAGCACAGCAGCTTTGCAGAAGTGCTGTGAGATGAACTTGTAGGCTGGAGCTGTGACTGCTGAAACCTGTATTTTTCAAAAGCCCCCAGGTAACTATGATAAGTAGCCAGGTGGGGGACATGGTCTTGTCCATCCCAGATTTCAGAGGGAACAGCACCAAAATCACAGTACTCAGTCTTGACAGCAGCTAATACAATAAATAACCAGGAAGTGGCTAAGGCAACATCTGATACCCCCATCTAAGAGACTCCAAGCACTAGGTGTTTTCTTACATATTAGATCATGATTTATCTGTGAAACAGGCATTTTTCAATCCCCATGTAAGGAAGTAAGACTGATAGGTTCAAGAATGTGCCTCAACACACAACTAGTAAATGGCCTGGCTGGGACTGTCACAAGACCCAGCAGATGGTTCTTAACCAGGAGTGTGAGTCAGAACATCACCTGGAAACTCTGTGACAGTACACAAGTGGGCCCACCCCAACTTTGTGTAGAATGTACTGTTGCTGAAGCAAAAAAGACAGGTTTCATTACCAGGAAAACTAATGACCCTAGAATGAGTCCCAATAAATGAGGTGCTGACACCCTTAAAGAACAGCACTGGGAGGTTGCTTACTGTACCTCACAGCAGTCTTCACTTCGTCAATTGGGAAAATGACAGAGGTGAGCTCTAGTATGTGGGAGCGCCGAAGATTTGACAGATGTTCATAATGACTTCGTAAGTCAATCATTTTTTTTTCTACCAGGTCACCAAGTTTGCGGTTGTGCCTCTGAATCTTCTCCTTTTTCTGTTGGTGCCGTTGTGCTCGACTGTAAAGTTTCTGGTTCTCTTCCTGGTTTTTGAGAAGGCCTTCAGAATCTAAGATAAACAAATCAGACCCAACCATTACCTCTGTAAATAGTTCCTGTGTACTACAGAAGCCCACCCTATAAGCATTCAGTGTTCTCCTGCAACTGCCACTGAAACAAAATTGCAATAAAACCAACTACTGTTCATTCAGTGAAAATGGAGAGCTCAATTCAAGGTGATGTTATATTAAAGCAAAAATAGTCACTACTAATCTCCACTGTAATCATGGGAGTCACTCAGTAATCATCAAGTTTACAGTGAGTACCTAACAACAGTCATGCTGGACAGAAAGACATCTAATTCAAGTTTGAAAACTTACTGGTTGTCTGATTTTCCTTAGAAACCTCTGGTGTGCCTTGGATTACAATCAAGGAACCCAGGGATAATTTTGCAGCAGGTGATCATGCAGCACAGGAGGATGGGCAACAGATATAGGTCAGGAGCTCTACAAAGACACAACAGAGTGCAGCAGCACCCAACAGGATAGATGCACGTATCTAGTGAGCTATCTGGAACACGAAAAGCCCAGTATCGAACGTGCTGCAAGAAAAACAAAAGCCTAGCCATACGATCAGGAGAGGGGGGCACCCCCTAGCCTTCGCAGACTAAGGTTCCACCTGTAGAGCTCCTTGAGGTTCTGGAACCTGAGTCTTGCCAGGATGAAGCTAAACTTTACTTGAGTAACAAAAACAAGGTATATACTATGAGACAGACATCTAGCAATCACATAGTGAAATTTAAAACCAAGCTCATACTTTTTCTGGGAAAACCTCCTCTTCATACATTTCAAGTCAGTTTCCCTACTTCTCTATTTTTTAAAACTGTCCACTGACTAATCAATTTTTTGTTTTATTTTGTTTTCACAGTACCAGGGTTTGAACTCAGGACTTTATGCATGCTAGGCAAGTGCTTTACCACTTGAGATTATTTTTCAGGTAGGCTCTCACACTTCTTCTTCAGGCTGTTCAGGACTGTGATCCTCCCAGTTAAGCCTCTCTTGTAGCTGGGATGACAGGCATGTGCCACCATGCCCAGATTTTTTTTGTTGAGATGGGGATCTCTCAAATTTTTTGCCGGGGCTGGCCTTGAACCAAGATCCTCTCAGTCTCCGCTTCCCGAGTAGCTAGGATTCCTAATCAATCCCTTGATGGTCAATCTCCCAGATCTCTACCTCTTGAATAGCTGGGATTACAGGCCTGAGCCATCATGCCTGGTCTCAGCAGTTCTTAAAGACAGACCAAACTCCTGAACCCCCAGGCCACCTCTAAAGTGGTATGTATTCTATAGCTCCCTTCCACATACCCTTTATGCTACTTTAATTACCCCATACTTTTGATCCTTTCCATAAGACTGAACTCAAATACATGTGGAGATGACTGGATGAACACTGAGCCCATCACCATTCCCCAAACCCACTCATTCAAATCAATGTCTCTTTGGAAACGCTCCCTATTTACTTGTATTTCCCATGATTTCCAGATTTTTCTCACTCAGAACCCCCCTCCTCCCCAAGTGCTTCCCAGACATTCTGTTCCTTAGAACTCTTCAGCAATGCGCTTGGACTCCAGTCGCATGGCAGCCTTGTTATCTCCTGACTAGAATACATATTACAAGCATCTTGTATGTTGGTGGACCCAAATTGCCCTGTCTTTCTGATGGCCTCTGAACCTAGGTATTCAGTCACAGGAATGAGATTTCTTACTGTTTTGATTCTTCTCAAATGCGCCTCTGTTCAACATGAATGTCCTAAAGATGTCAGTCTCTTGGTTCTATCACAAGCTGAATTTCCAACAAGCTCATGTGCTTTCATGATCTCTACTGAGCTCTTTACAGGTGTTCACATCAGTATGTCCACCTAAGTCAGGACTATTTCAAATTTAGAATCATAACCTATCCTAGAAGGCAGAAAATCAGTCATCCCATCTGCAACTAGTGCAGCCTTGGAACTCAAGAGTCATCCTTCTCTCCTGCCCACTCTCTTGCTTCTTTGAGTAAGTAACTGACTGTAGCACAGATCAACTCAACCCTGCAACTGCACATACCCACTTCCCTTATCTATGCAAAGCAATATCTTTATTTTACTGTACTATGAAATCTTAAAGTAAAGGAGAATGGAGAAGTAAGTTATCAAGTTCTATAATTTATAACCTGTGCTTTTTCACAAACGTGGTATTTCAACAACATAGTTTTCAACAACATAGTTTAAAAACAAAAAAAAAAGACAAGACTACTAGGAAGCAAGTTCTTAATTCATGACCTTGAGTCCATGTATTGCTACTGGAATCTACTCACTCCTTGAAAGCTGTTTGCAAAACTGTCTGAGTCTGGCTAGGAATAAGACCACATTATCTTCTAAAGAGCAGTAGTTCCCAAGCTAGGAATAGTAATACACACCTGTAGTCCCAACTACTTGGGAGGCAGAGGTAGGAGGATCAGAGTCTAAGGACTATCCAGAGAAAAAGCGTAAGACTCTTCCTGAAAAATAAACTAAAGCAAGAAAGGTTGGGGCAGTGGCTCAAGTGGTAGAGCACTGCCTAGAAGCACATGGCCCTGAGTTCAAACCCCAGTGCTCTCCCCTCCTCCCCAAAAAACGAGTGTATCATCAGAGCCACCCAAAGCAGAGCTGCTCAAAATGAGGCCAGCGGGTCTGGCCAATCTGCAAATTGTTGCCAGTCATGACAAGAGCAGTACAGAAATCCAGAATAAGAGGAACTTTTTTCTTCAACACAGCCATACAAAATCATCACATTCAAACGTGTGATTATTTTCCTAAGTCTAGGGTGGATCCCAGAATTTTCTGCCTAGATTTTAAAATGATTAACAGGGTACTCTGATGATGTGCTAGGGATGGAAACCATGTTATGAGGTCTACTGCTTTGGAACTGTGTTTTACTATTTTCTGTGGTTGTTGTTTTGGTGTTTAAGAACCTGTTAAAAACTGTTGACGACAAAGGGGGGAGGGGAAGGTGGCACAAACAATGCATTCACATGTAAGTAAATGTAAAAATGATAAAATAGAAGAAAAAAAAGAAAGAAAAATTATTGTCTGAAGAATCAAATATCCCTGAAAAGCTTCTGAATTATGGATAAAGTTGAATATTCAAAATTGAAAAAAAAATTGTTGACCACAGTTTTAAACATGCTCATTAGAAAAATGTGCCTCCCTCAGTATGTTCTAACTTCAGAAGGTTCAGATGCCCCACGGTTGAATGCTGTGGAGGGGTGGGGAAAGAGGGTGAGCCAACATTAAGATCCCATGCTGCTGTTGAACCCAAGCCTTTGGAGGACACAAGCAAAACTCAAGGCTCACTGGCAGTATGCAGTTCCAAGCACCTTCTGCCCTTGTTTCTCTTCCTATTCTATCCTGTGCAACTCCAAAAGAGCTCCTCATTAGGACAATTTTCAAAGGAAGCTTTTACATCATCATTATATACCACTATTAAATACTTGCTCCTAAAAGCAACAAGGAGACAAGAAAGGGGATTCATGAGGCATGATGATGACTCACTCTAAACTTTAAATGCTGGTCTTTAGAAATGCTTCTAAGGATGCTGGATTCCTAAAAGGATTCAAATTTTGACAACCACCAATGATAAAGTGTGAAGTGCTTGAATCTAATGTAAAATTACATTAAAATATGTAGGAAATTGACTAAAGGAGAAAAGCCAGTATTCTCTGCTTCTGGCATGAGCTAATGATTATCACAAGTTAGCCCAACGTTGTTCATCTTTTTCTTAAAGGTGCTAAGGATCAAACTAAGGGCGTCATGCATGCAAAACACACGTTCTCAGCTGAATTACCCTTCCTAACTTTTCAACTGACAAAAGTAGCAGGTTATTAAAGGCCTTTATAATTGTATTTATATTAGACAACTGCCTTAAAAGGAGAAAGAAGGCCTGATAAGAAAGTCGGAAATGTTCTAAAATCCAAACTTTGTTGACAAAAGGCCACAAGTAGAAGATTCCACACCTGACTTCATGTGACAGGCTGCAGTCAAAATGCAGGCACATTAAAAATACCAGACACAATTACCTCAAGACTGGGTGAATAAGGTGTTTAGTACATGCAAATATTGCATGTACCAAAAAAATCTGATATCTGAAATGGTGATATCTGAAATGCTACAAGCATTTCAGATAAGGGATTTTCAACATGTAGTAAATTTCTCCAAGTCACTACTGACCCAAATCCACCTCTCTTTGTCCTTCTAGTTTATTAATCCCATGAAATTCCACATGAGCCCCTCCTTTGTTAGCTCTGGAGGGAAGGAGGAGAATTACTTACTTTTCTTCATTTCTTCATTTCCTTTACATATCGTTTGTTTCAGCTGTTCAATCCTCATCTTGCAAGACATTATTTTCCATCTCTGAAAAAAAGTATGTAATAAATACATACATGTATGTAATAAATACATATTTATTTGTAATAAATATCACAAATGTTCATCTCTTGTGATTAGTTGAATTATCTACCTGACATCGATGCTTATTTTCAGGTCTATTTTAGAAAACGTAAGGAAGAAAAGACTGAGGTAACTACATTTGTTACAGCTTTCCTAACTATGGTGAATTACAAAACAGAAAACATTTTTCAGGTTGTATGCAGTAGTTGCAGGAAATTTAGAGAAAGAAATTTACATAGTTCTTTTCCCTTGGTCAATGAGCACAAAGAAAAATGTTGAAGGACATTCTTTAAACTTGCTCTGTCTATTATATAGCTACTTACTAACCATATGTAGCTAATTAAAGTTCAATTAAAATCACATAAAACAAAAATACTGTCCTTACAATACCCACATGTCCAGTGTCAACACCACATACAGCCAGTAGCTACTATCTGGACAATGTAGATTCAGAATATATGCATCATCACAAAGTCATACAGATGCACTGCTCTCCATTCCCAGATGGTTGCGGAGACTGCGGCCTACTGTATCATCTTACCCAGTAAGTATGCATCGGTGCACTGTAATAAAAACTGCCTCCAAGTAAGTTTTTTTTTTTTTAAGTACATAATGCAAGTAAAACTTTATGAAATGCCTTAGAAAATCATATGAAACATGAAACTGTCTCTTCACATTATCAGGAATGATATGGGGCCAGGTATAGTTACCTCTAAAATGAATAAAGAATCAACAGAAATGGACCTACTAGTTACATTAAAACGTATGATTATTCTCTAATGCCTCCATAATTGTGGTAATTAAAAGTTTAAAATGATATTTAAATATTTACAGTGTTAACACTTATTTAAACATAGAACAGATGGCAGGAATGTGGAATGTGACAGTGGGGGAAACTCTTAAATTCTTCTGGAACCATTGTGGCAGGAAGGCAGGGAGGGGGAAGTGAGATAAGAGACAATGAGGGAGATAATGAGTACAACAATGAAACAAACAAACAAACAAAAAACAGATTTGAGGAATATCAAGTGGCACCTGGGGTGAGACCAGAAAAGGGTCACCTCGCCCCACAGTTTAAAATAGCCAATGAAATAATATGTGACCATTATGGGTCAAGCTGTACCTTCCCTCCATTTCTGTAACCTGCTCTAAATGATATATAAGGAAATCCCCCTTTGTTCTCAGGGCCAGCCTTTGGACTTAAGTCCATGAGTCACTGCTGGTCTGCTTAATAAACTTGCTTCCTGAAAGCTTTGGTGTCCTGTGTCTCTGTTTGAGCCATCCTACAACACCATAAAGACATTTGAGAACAGATTCAAGGGGTCTGATGGGCTCAGAAAAAAAAATTAAAACTAAGAAATGAGATATGTACATCTTTTTTAAAAAGTCTTTAAGTATCAATACTAAAGGTTTTCTTTTTCTTTTGGTGGGACTTGTGTTTGAACTCAGAGCTTTGCACTTTCAAAGCAGGCACTCTACCACTGGGGCCATGCCTCAGTCTATTTTTCTCTGATTATTTTGGAGATGGGAGTCTTACAAACTATGTGCCCAGGCTGGCTCTGAACCATGATGCTCTGGATCTCAGCCTTCCAAGTAGCTAGGATTACAGGCATGAGCCACCAGTGTCTGACTAATACTAAAGTTTCTGGTATTAGACATACAAGATCTTAGAAAAAATTTCCATGGAACATATTTTACTTATAACATTCATTACATATGCAAAATTTACTTCTATCACAAACATTCTTTAAAGGCAATGCAAAATTATACATGATGCTTATTGAAAAATGAAACACTTGAGAAGAATAAAAGGAAATGTGACTGTCAGCCTGGCTTCTTTCCTTTCTTCAGGAGTATTTGTCAGGATGCAGGGCCTCAATGCTAAGCATGTACTTCTCCATGAAGCTACACCCCAGCCCCCAGCCTCCAAGAGTAATCTCTTAAAGCTAAAGTTTGATATGCATCTTTTCATATTTTAGAGTACATTTACATTTAAAATACACACAGTGGAAGCATCAAAAGAAATTTTAATTGACACAGTAACTGCATGAATTTATGGGATTCAGTGTGACATTTCAGTACATGAATACAAAGTCTGCTTTTTTTTTTTAAACAGGCATATAATAATATATGCCTTATCAACTTCTGACTGATAAGCATTTAGAGTATTTACATACTAACAGAGCACAAATAATCATCTTCTTTACCCTTATGTGAGAATGGATTCAGGGTGTCTCTGCATTCATATGCATTTCCTTAAGAGGAAAACTGCTGGATAAACTACATGTGGTCTTTAAAAACCACCACCATAACAACAAACTGTCCCAAATAGAATGTGCTGACAAATATTCCCATCAATAGGGAAGGAAAGTGTCGTGTTATCAAACTCCTTGTTTCCAGATGTGTATCCATTTTTTTCTGAGTTTAACCGTCAATCTTTAGCATCTTTAATATACAGATCTTTTAAACTTTTATGTAATCTATCAAAATACTCTCCAGCATTTTCTTTTAACGTAATTATTAATCTATGTGGAGTATGTTTATTATGAACAATTTTTGCAAAAAGAATGGCCCATTCCTTTTGTATTCCTATGCCAATACCAGATTTCATAATCACCCTTTGTGATGGCTCCTTAATTGCCTATACTCCGTTTTTGGTATTTTGACAAAATATTTGAGAGGGTCACACTACAAACATATTTAAATAGAAGACTGACAAAAGTGATACAAATAAATTCAAAATCAAATTCCAAGTCACAGTCAACATTTAAGCTCTGCCAACTTAGAAACATGTAGCCTTAAGCATAAATAATATTTACTTAAATACTTCTTTAAACTTACCAATTGATCTGTTATCCATTTTCCTTCCACAGCTTTTAATACTCTGTATGGGAAAGGGACATACAAAAGAAAGCTCTTGAAATAAAATTTTGTGAAGTTCAAAAATATAAAATCAACTTTTATCATTTTATTTCATTTTTTCTTTTATTTTTGAGAGTAGGTCTGGCTATGTGCCAACACTGGTCAAGGCTCAAGTGATCCTCCTGCCTCAGCCTCCTGACTGCTGGGACTACAGGAGCACAACACTGCACCCAGCTAAAATAAACTTTGTAAAGTAAATGTTCAGAAATGGCTACAAACACCAAAGTGGGACTTGGCATTGAAAGTGTTTTCCAAATTCCTTCCTTCCTTCCTTCCTTTTGCTCTTATAACACTACCAAGACCCTTCCTATTTATATTAAAGATAAACTTCCAGAACAGCCCTAGCCTTGTCCTCAGTCATAGTCAACAATTCCCATCAGTCATAATTAATGATAGTTGCAAAAGAATTCATGATCTAAAATATAATGGTTAGTTCCCAAAGAAGTGGCACAAACTAGCATCTCTGAAAATCTATCCTATAGAATAAAGTGTTCTCTGAGAAAAAAAAAAAACAAAACAAAGTTTTTGTGATGGAATAGTCTAGAGAAACTGCTGAGTTAAATACATTCAGGATTTCATAGGAAGAGTTCCTCTGCTCTTAAATGTTTTTCTCAGACCATGGTAGACTTCTGTGGGAATCACTGGCACAGATAGCAACTGTTTTCACCAGTGGAGTCAGACCTCTTTATCAGTCTAATTTGGGAAGGCTTTGCAGAAAACTCGTGAAGATCCCTGGTGCAATGGGGGGAGGACCTGCAGAAAAAGGAAGAAGAGCACTAAAGTGAGAGGCAAATGCCTACAGTCTGTCTGCAGAACAGTGACCAGGTGAGTTTGAGGCAGAAGATTGTATAGGACAATTCTCAAACCCAGGGGTGAGAGATTCTCCAGGGTGCATATCACAGTATTTTTGAGGTCAGCATTCCAAGAATCCACGTTTTAACCATTATTTACAGTTACTGAAATCTGATCTATACAATCACACTTTGCACAGAACTGATAGAGAAGAAGAAAGGTAAATGACAGCAGTAACGTGCAAGACTCTAACCAAGCCTACTGCTGTGGGCCCACTTGCCACACACCAATAATCAAGACCAGGGGTTTGCCTCATCTGTCCAAATACTGACTGCCTACTTTGTACTAGGCACCAGGTCTGAGCCCACCGTTTTCTAGAAATCTGATACTCTCTCTTGCTTCACTTCTCTCAAATATATTCCTTTCCCACACTTTAAAAGACTGTAAGCTAACTCACTAATTACACAATTGCTAAACAAAGCAGATTAAATCACACTGTGACAGACAACTACCCCAATTAAAAAGCAAAAAAACTCACTCTTTCTGAAATTCTTCTTGCTTGCTCTTAAGTTGGCTTAACCTTTTCTTCTTATCAATAAACCTATAAGAAAAGGTGGTTTATTTGAAATGATCATTTCTGCAGATTTGTGGGAATCTCACTGTGCTGAAAGTAGACTCGTGACTTCTCAATGGGATGCACACAGCTACTTACATCAGTTATTTTAACTACTTTTTATACGGCAGCACTGGGGTTTGAACTCAGGGCTTCACACTTGCTTGGCAGATGCTCTACCACTTGAGCTACTCCACCAGCCCCAGTTAGATTCTACCCTGTCTGTCCCCCACCCCAGACTGCTTTCAGAAACATGCACATCAGAACAGTCAAATAAATTTGAATACAAAAAAACTGAGGCTTGTGTTGTATTTTAACTGCTAAACTTTATCTCGCCCTCCCCTGTAAACTGAGTATAATTTTTAAAATACAATTTTTCCACTAATTTTATCACTGGTCATTGCAAGATTACAAATTACTTGATAAAAGTTACCAAAAGGAAGGGGCATCACATTGCTGTTAATTTTGTTTAAGTTTGTTGTACAGACATTCTAAGTGGAAGGGATAACATAATCCAATCATGACATTACCATTTAACACTGATAATGTACAATGTTAAACAAAAAAGCAAACCATTTCATGTATCACAAAGGTGGTACTAAAAATTAATAGAGAAATAAATAAGGCAATCAAGCAATATAACATGATAGAATTATAAACCTATAATGAGAAAATCTAAATTTAAATGCAGAATTTAGCTCCTTGGGTACACTAAGCACAGTGCAATAGGCACATGTGGCTAACAGGCACAGCAAGGACACAGAACATCTCCATCACTGTAGAAAGTTCTTCAATTATCAGGCATTACCACATGCCTGCAACACAGAACCAATTATCTTCCACAACACTGAGAATCTAATTATATATTCTTCTGCAGCTGTGCATTCTTGGACATACTACTTTCCTCAGTTCAAAAATGAGAAACTAATATAGTATTTAATTCCACCTCACTGAGGCAATGTGATTTATGTTCTGACAATCTAAAGGAAATGACAAACTCACAAGACAAACAGGCAAAGGGCTGGCATAGAGGATAAAGTCTTGCATTCAGATTCCTACTGGACCTAATACTTTGTGAGTCATGTTATCCTTCATGAAGGAGATTAAAAATAGGTGGTGTTAACAAAGCTCAAGAGCAGATGACATCAAGGAATGTGGCTGCGTCAGCATGTCACTTGCTCACTCAGTACACTAATCCATTCTCTGCATTCCCCAAACCGACACTCATGGAAATAGATTCATCCCACCATCCTGTGCTTTGTCAATATGGTTTCCCAAAAAGAACTGGAAAGCTAAATAGACAGTCACCATGTTCAAACCAGACTTAGTGATACATGTTTTATCTTAAGATAGGATGGGGTGGTGGATTTTATCTTAAAACAGCATGGGGGAGGTAGGCTGGTCTGCCTCACAAAATATCTTGTATCTTTCTCCATGCCAGAACATACTGAGTCTCCTCATCCTTTAACAGTACTCAGTATCTAAGTGGATATCACAAAAGCTATTTATGTAGACCTTTACTGACAAACATTGCTATTGCTTACGAAAGTTCACTGTTACCAGCAATCATGAAAATGAACACTGTAGAGCACAAATCTTTATATGCTATTAAGATTCTCTATGATAAATTTCTATAAATAAGATAAAATGCCACGTCCAAGAACATATACATGCAAAATTTCTGCAGTTATCTTTATATTCCCTTTAAAATATGTCATATAACTTATAACCACACCAACAGGGGGCAACAGTGGCCTCTCCCCACTCTCCAGTCCTAATTCATGCCTGACTGCAACTCCACCATGGAGGGGACTCCTACACAAAGATCTGCACTGTGGATGGCATCCTAGCCCAGCTGGCCATTGGGACGCAGTACATGGGAGATGGACACAGCTTCCTGCTGGGGTTTACCATTAAAACCAGCAGTTTCAAGGAGGTGAGTGACTAAGCTCTTCACGTAGATTGAGTCAAGGACTTTGACAATAACTTCCTGGTCCTCACGGTCAGGAACAAAGCAGATCTGGAGACACAGAGCCAGGTCCCGTATCTGAAGCATCTGTCTTCAGCACCTCCCATCACGTGACCCCAATATGAACGAGGCCTTTGAGTGGCCATCTGAAAATACCAGGAACAAAAGCTCCTTCCCAGCCTGTCCTGTGCCCCCAGGAAAAATGGAGTCTGCCCGTGTCCTGCTATAGGCAGGAGAGAAACCATCAGCACAAGCTCTCAAGACCAGCTGCCTTACAGCTTGCTTGCTGGTCTGCAGTCTTGACTGAGCCTCAGTTTCCTCCTTTGGGTTTCCCAGGACACACCACACACTCAATCCTTATTTCCTAGCCTTCTCCCAGTCATTGCCACTGTGTGCCTTCTGCCATTACTTCCTTTCCTCACCCAAGCCCCAGGTGGGGTAAGGGGTCCCCAGGTCACTGATGTATGGAACTCCTATGCCCAGAAAAATAAACATCACACACTAATGGGGGTGGGGAGGAGGGAAAGAAGGAGGATACGGATGAGTATGCAGAGCCTGGTGGTTAGGAGAGAGGTTACACAACCCAACTCAGGTCTGAAGGTAGTTTTCTGGGAGTGACACCTTCCAAGTTGAGATATGAGGATGGCTGACAGTTGATCCTGTTAAGGGAAAGAAATCATTATAGAGAGAAGAAACTGAAAAAAAAAAATACTGCATGCAATTACTTTGTCCTGCACCAATGTGTTTCAATATACTGAGCAGCTAATAGTGAAGGCACTACGCTGCTGATGAGGCAGTAATTGAGTCCCATGATTCCACTCTGTTCCCTGGCTACAGTCATGGGCAACTACCCACAGATCTAATCACATAAATCTACCCTGGATTACCAATGCCATGAGCACATCTTAGAGATCTGTACTATTAATTCTGTGTGAGGGTTAATTAGCAGTACCATAACACTTATTGAGAGCACTTACTATGGCCTAACCAAAGCACCTTTTATAAAATAACTAATTCCTCCACCTGTCTGCACAGTTCTTTCCCTCATCCTAGGGCTAATTGTGTACTTTGTGCCTATGATTATGGAAATACAAAACTCTGAGAAACAATAATATACTTTAAGAAAGGCAAAAATATAACTTTTCAAATAAGCAACTGAGAACCGAAAAAATATTAAAAACCTATGAATCAGTTATTGCATTTAAAGAAATAAATCAGATATATGAAAAGATTTATGTATGAAGGTGCCAATCACAAGGTGAGTCATAGTAGCAAAGAATGAGAAACAACTTCAATCTTCGATGGGAGGATTAATTAAATGATTATATAATGTCACGAAGGACATTAAAATCTTTTTGCCAAAGATGTATGTTTTTATGAACTATTGAGTTAAAAAAAACCCACCAAATTACATACATATGAGTCCAAACATAGAGAAACACACAAACACTGGAAGACAAAATAACATTACAGAACTGTGAAAATAAGAGTAAAATCTGTTTTCTTCTATATAAATTTTCTATAATAATTGTATACTTTTTTTTTTGGTGGTACTGAGGTTTGAACTCAGGGTCTCATGTTTGCTAAGCAGGCACTCTATCAGTTGAGCCACTCTGCCTTCCCTTTTTTGGGTTAGGTATTTTTGAGATAGTGTCTTGTGAGCTATTTGTCCAGGACTGGCTTCAAACCTCCATCCTAACTACTTACTGAATTGGATACTGAACATGTTATGAATTACTAACCAAAATTTTCACCCTTAAATTTTTTCCAGTTTTTTTTTTTTTTTTGATGGCTTGAACCCAGGAACTCACAAATGCCAAGCATTCATTCAACCACTGAACTAAGCCTTGTAGCCCCTTCTCCCTTAAATTCTTATGGCATATAAGGATATGATGTTTAGAGGCAAGTAAGATATGCAACAAATGTAGGTTGATAGAAAATGGGGGGAAAAAAGCAGTACTTGGTCTCCTTACTAGTGAAAAGAGAGTACTGCTCCCACACAACGTGGCTATTGTGATCAAAGAGAAACTGAAGCATCAGGTTCAGATGCTTAGTACATAAGATATGCTAGTCTCCCATTTTATTACAATGAGCTACTCTGCATCTTACCACATATTAAACCACAGAATCAGAGCATATGAAGAGACCAAAGATCATGAAATGGGGATAGGGCAGTCCTACACCTGCTGCTTCTGAAAATATAGATGGTATGCTATAAAAAGTTAAAAACTTATGTTAGTCAACTTACTCTAAATCAAGACATCTTTCAGGGATGGAAATAGAAAAATTCATTTTTATTTTCAAGACAGTAAACAGGCAGAAAAATAAAAGGGGTATTTTGTGTATTTTTTAATGAAGTGACTTTGAATGTTCCTAACTTTAGATTTTAAAAAAGACAAATTTTACAGTTATGAAGGAATAAGTAATGTAAAAGTACTGATGTATTGATGTAAAAGTTGCTCGTGTATATTGAACACATTAAAAACCCTCAAAATAGTATCATGTGATCTCATCTTGGCATAGAAAAAATTAAAATACTAAGGACTAAGACCTCATCTATAACTGAGATACCTCTAGGTTGTAGAGAGACGATTCTTTGTATTTTGAGCTAAACATTTAAAAACTTCAAATGTCATATTTATATTTAGCTTTCCAAAATACATACATCTTACAATTTATGGTTTCATCAGCATCAAAATTCAGAACACTTGAATTCAACTATGTTTTCTGTGAAGAAACATCTAAAATGTTAATAGGATACAAGATGAACAGGAGTGACTATTTCCCAAGTGGAGGACCCCCTGAAGTGACTTCTGAGCATCAGGATCAGCGTTCATTTGACATAGGACAGCCCCAAGGAGATCATGAGCAAGTGCCAAAGACTTTGATCAAAAGAAGTGAATTTTTAGTTTTAAGATACAACTATTAGTTCATCTGAAAATATTTTAAGGGACTAAACTAGGGCTGGAGACTTTCACCTGGCTCTGGGTAGAAGGAGACCAATCACTAAAAACAAACT